GCGGGATGAGGTCTGTATTAAATGGTATAATATTTGCATAACTGTAAGCGCTTGGAGTTTCATACGTATCGTAAAATTAGGCGAGTTTGCATCACGGCGAGAAAGAAATTTCGGAGCATTCGGCGCGGCACGCTAGATTTACTTGATTATAAGTTTTCGTCTTAATGACCGTTCGTCTATTTGTGTTGTAATATTCCTTCATACACAAAGCAAGTAATTTTAAAACCATTTTCTCCTTAAATGCAAACTATCCTATTCTACGATACCGAAAGTCTCGCGTTGTTCCGCTATCCATTAATTTTCGTCGTGAACTCTAATTATTTCCACGCAAAGGAAAGAATGGTCCTTGTCATCGCTTACGACAACAAAGGAGAGAACGGCTCTTGTCATCGCTTATGATAGTATAATATGCGCGTGCGTGCTTATTAATTTACAAGAAAATAAAAGAGCTGAGTTGTCAGCGATGAATTACAGTGAGCAATTTTCTGGCTTCGACGCGTGAATTTCAATACGCGATATGTGATATAACGTACATTTATAAGTATAATTATAGAACAAGTATAGTCATATAGTATCGCGTACCGCGCGGTACGTATTTATTATTTCTCTTTCTATCTAATCGTTAAATCTCTATTACAATTAAGATCACGCGTTGTTACGCTAACACGACTTTTTGATACCCGTAATGTTCTAGGACTTCGTAATCCATGTACACCGCTAGATTAATTTTACATTTGCGATACAATTAATCGCAATCAATTTGATGCGCGTACTGCAGTTCGTGCATAACAATCGCGGTTAAATTCGAACGAGCGCGAAGGCCTCAAGAAAGCCTCTAGCAACGAAATTACATTCTTCTCTAATGTTACTCGAAATAATAGTGATAATTCTTCGATAATTCTTACGGAAAATATATTTGAGAAAATTCAGTAAGAAGTATCTTTCAATATTTTTTGATTATTAGAAATATCCGTGTTGCGCAATTTTTAAAACATTTGTCAATTAAAGAAAAGGTCTACGGAAGATAGCAAAACGTGAAATCTCTGACCAATCACATTTCTCTTCTCATTCTGTATACCAAAAGACACGGTCGTGTCTCGGCGCTAAAGAGTATACGCGCGAGACTGACCGGGTCTTATTTACGCGTGCCGGCGAGTTGCGAGCTATAAAAAAAACAGACGGCACATTCTTACCGTAATAAGAACGACGTTGCTAAACACCTTTCCACCAACTTGAACTACAGCAAACGCACATTAAAAAAAAAAACGACGAGGTCAGACGGGGTCTTACAATGACAAAAATTACAAAGGCATTAAGAAACCGCTATTTTACATCATTAACTCGGAAAGAATATATAATCAACGGCACTTTGTAGCCTGGAAGTAGGAGGACAAACGTTTCCTTATCTAAACTATAATGTTTGACAATTAAGCTTGTTCTGTCTTCTTTGTACACCGGGAAAAATAAGCTTGAGAACGTAAAGTTTTTTTCCTGAGGAATTACAAATATGTATATATAAAAATACGATCTAGCGGAAAAAAAGTGATTCTTCGAAGGTGAAATTAAAGAGTTGTGTGAGAAGGTGAGAATGTGTTAAAAAAATTATCAAATAATCAAATATATTTTCCTCCAGGTATATAAAATACCTCCTTTTTTTTCCTTCTTCCTACTTCCAAAGCGCGATGTGTGGCATTTGTTGTTCTAGTTCTAAAGTACTAGATCAGTTCAGCATGTATTTGGTTCATTAGGACCAGGCGTAACGTCATTATCTCGCCAAGTCGATTGGAGGCTAATCGAGCCGTTTATTAATTTTTATATCGCATAAATGGGCAATCGTGTTTCGGCATTAAAACGTCGATGTCTCGAACTATATACGTTTTGTTCCTTCTTTTTTATTTTATTTTATCTTAGCGAATTATCTCCTTGATTTTCCCTTAACTATTTGACACCGATAATGATTAATCGCATAATGGTTAATCGCATTTCTCGTCTAAAAATTTCTATCTCCCTTACGAGTTTAACGCATTCGACATTAGGGTTAGTTATTTATTTCCTTCCTTCTCGTCGCTCCTCCGCGCGCTATAGAGATCAAGAAAAACAATCGTATTCTTATACTAAATCCCGTCCACGATACAACATGATCAACAACGATGCGTTACTTTAATAATCTTTAATATAGTATTTAAAAGATAACGTGATTGGTTGTCGCGTATCCAGTTGCCGATGGTCGAAAAAATGTTTTGTATACGATACGACTTGAGTTCGTCTCCCTGATGTCTCGCCGAGACGACGTCTCCGCCTATACGAGTCTGTCCGTGAGCAAGTGCAACTTCCCTTTCTTTATCGGTCGCCGTCCCACGTTGCTTTTTCTTCTTCCTAGCGTGACTAATCGACTCCGTCGCTTCCGCGATTTTTCTACCACACTCTCGAGCGGCCCGTGAATTAGCAGAGAACGGTGACAAGTGTTAATTTTTTGCACTCAAAAGAGTCATGTTCTCGGTATCGTTTCCTCTTTTTTCTTTTTTTTTTTTTGCGGATGAAAAAGAAGCTCTGTCGTGATGAACACGCTCGTTGATCGTATAGGTGCTTAGTGTTGCAATGTTAATTTACACATGGTATAATTATTAAATTTTAATATAACTGCCGATATCTCGTGTCGGCGGAAATGCGCCGCAGTGCCTTTTCTAAAGGTAACAAAGAACGAGAGACATTGAAAGGTACGTGCCTTTTGCGATGTAAGAGAAATAAAAAAAGCCCCACGCTCTTTTAACTCTTTTGCTCTGCGAAACGACTTTTAAATGTCGGAAAGAAGTTACAGTGTGCTGTTGCGATAACGATTTCTGTAATAGTTACAGAGATAGGGGAAAGATTGATGCGCGTGAAACATTAAAACGTACGCGAATCTTTATGTATATGTACAAAATACGTGCGATGTAAGAGATATAACGATCCGTCTTCTCGGCACACATCCAATCCGGAAAATATATTTGCTTCAGAAATTCGAAAGTTACAAATCATACTAAAAAAAAGAAAAATGTGAGGTTTTCAGCTGTCCGGATCTCACAATTTATTACGAAACTCAGAAAGTCGGCTTGAAAAGCTAATCGCCCGATTCGCGAGACATAGAGCCGTTTAATATCCTAATACGCATGTTCGATATACAAAGCTCGTATTTACATGATCCCGATGTAAAACAGGGATCGGAAAATTGGCATTTAACGCCTGAATGCGCAACGAGAATGCGGATTTAGTAAAACGGAACAATTCGAACTTGCGGAAACGTGAAAGAAAGTACATTGCAGCTCGCGAACTAAATTTCTCAGAGCGAAAGTTATCGAACAATCACAACCATCCTACGCATTTTTTTTTCTCTTTCCGCGTCCGATTTCTCGACTCTTGCACTCCTTCCGTAGTGTCCTTCGGATCTTTCTCTCTCTCTCTCTCTCTCTCTCTCTCTCTCTCTTTCTCTCTCGCGAGACCTACTCGAGAGAGTATATTTTATGTCACCGCCACTTAAATCGTAATACAAATCCCCCGTTTTTTTTATTTTTTATTAAGTCGTCGATTTTTACATACTAATGATACGGATAAGAAAAATTCACTGGCATTATTTGAATCACCTTGGCAGTTCATCGTGTGTATTCTGAGAGAGTGTAACCTGTGCGTTTTTACCTTTAAGCCTTCAAACCCTTGTCCCTGCTTCGTCCCTCTTATCCCTATTCGTTCGGTTTTTTTTCTCTTTCCTCCCCTCCCTCGTCGCTTCGTTTCGTACGGACAGAAAGGACCTGTCCGCGCCTCCTCTCGCATTTCTTTTCATGGACAAGGACCAATGTCAACTGGCGTATTATAGTAATTCCCGAAATTTCTTTAGGATATTACAGTTTACGTATTCTCGAGAATTTCAGTCACACTTGAAAACTTTGATTTTATATCAGTGTTTCTTTTGTTTCTGAGCACACTACTATATATTCATGTTTTTACATTTTAAATTTGTATACCCTTTGAAATTTATATCTTTCAAAATTTATGCTTTTTTTGGGGATTCTCTCGAATTTGGAGTCTTTTTCTTTTATGCGGATTCGTAGAAACGTTACGAAACTTGTCTGGACTGCCGTTAAGAGTCTCTTAAACCTAGCAATATACTGATCCTCGGGTACATTCGAAGATTTCTATATTCGTACTAACCTTGGGCCGCAGAAAAAGTATTTTTAACTCATTGGCAAATCACGGTTCCGTGCGTATTAACGATCTCTCGCGTGATGATACGTGCGTGTGTGTAACGTGTATGTACGTGTGTAATACATCCCCAAGCAGTAGTCGCGGAGGACAGAGCCGAATATACACTCTTCTTCCCTCGATTCGACTTATTTACTTATCTCTATGAAAATTCGTTAATTGGATCCTTTATAGAACTAATTATTTGACTCGCGTTCGACAAAAAACGTACCGTCTCAACTGTACAAAGTGTTCGTCACATCGACTGCTCTCAGGGATGCGTGTAACAAACCAAGTGTACGTGTCTCCGTCGCGTATATAATGGACTCCGATTTCCCGCGTGTCTCCTCGGTGTAAACGACGTGTCCTTCACGCGTGCGCGCTCGCGCCGTTTATAAACGGTGTGTCAACGTGTTCTCGCTAAGGCGTCCTCGTGGGATTATAATTATACGATAAAGTTTCACCGTTACTATTACGTAATTATTATTAGTACTATTATCGTTATTCTCATTATCGATAGCGTTATTATTTTCATTTTTACTGGTATTATTATGTATATCATAAAGAAACGAAGTTACTCCCCGTATTGCTTTCTTCCTAACGCGCAGGTCACCGAAACGAAGCGGCGTGCGAACCCGAGGATGAACACCCTTAAGCCCGATTCGGCGGAGACCGGCGGCTAAGGGCGGACGCTCGGTTGGAGCGGCGTCCGTCGACGCCGGCGGCGCCCGGCACGCGATCCTCGTCGGCCCCGGAACCACCGGCGGCAGACTGGCTTTTCTGAATCACGTGACGATAATATGCGGCGCTGACAGCAGGACGGTGATAGTAGCGATGATGGTGAACAGAGTAAAAATGATTAGGCACAACCTATCGATCACCATCGCCGCAAACTTCCAGTCGTTCGAGACCTTCGTGCTCTCGTCCTCGTTCTTCAGTTGAGTCGTTATTATCTAAAACAAGATTGTTACTTCATCAAAACTGCATTGATTGGTTCCCTAGAAAGAAAAAAAATAAATAAAAATCGATTCCTTCTCATTTCTTCGCTGTTTCGAAGTTTTAGATGGGAGATTCTCGGCTTGGATACTTCGAACTTTGATACTTTTTCGATTTTTGGAACATTGCGATCTTGAGGTTTAAAGACACTGAGGCTTTTAGAGATTGAACCAATGGATTTTACGTATCTCGAAACTTTAAGATCTTATGAACCTTATTGGAAACTCGAATCCTCGAGCCTCTCGAGTTCAAAGATCCTTACAACCCTATAATTTTGGAAACTTTAAAATCTTAGGATTTTGAAGTTAAGTATTTAACAAATCTGAAACCAGCGAAATTCGAAGATTCTTCAGATTACCCCCCCCCCTCCTCCTCTAGTTGTTCCTCACCCCGTTGAATCGGATATCGATCATTACCTTAATCTCCTTCAAGATTAGCACAAGCTCGTAACGGGCACAGAAGCACGCGTTCTGCAGCATCGTCTCGACCTGCGGCGCTGGCGCGTCCTGCGGATGTGGATGATGATGCGGCGTATGCGAGATCTGATGGCTGGGATACGATGCGTGCATCGGCGTCGCGTGCTGATGGTGCGGCGTTGTGGGTGCGTGGCTATGATGATGATGGGGCGTCGTGTGTATGTGACTGTGGCCGTGGCCCATCGCGTGCGCGTGATGTGGCCCGGGTGTGCTGTACACGTTGTTCAGCAGATTGTTGTGAGGCGCCAGCGCGTTGTCATCCAGGTCCAGGACGTTCGCCAGGAGGGACTTACTGCTCCTCTGATGTAGCTCCAGATCACCGAACGACTTGTTCGCGCCTGGCGTCCAAGAAACAATTATTAATTCGAACTAAGGAAGTCATGACAAAGATCAAAAAATTATATGTAATTATTATATATATATATATATATATATATATATATATATATTTGTATACAATTATATTAGTTAACACAGCGTTTAAATGCATTATGTTGCTCTGGAATTTAAATTATACTTGCACAAACAATGCCGTTATCAAGTAGACGATTCATCTTGATCTAATAATCTATATATATATATACATTTGAAACTTATCTACTACTTAAAATTATCTTACCCGTGACTGGAGATGGCTTCTGAGACTTTTGTGCTTCCTTGTCTTCTTCCGAAACCGGTCTTGACATACCAAGTATGCGAGGTAGCCAAAATAGGAAAATTAACTTAATCTGTAATGCAATTCAGAAAATTAGTTTGACAGTACAGTCCAATACATATTTGTATTATTAATTATGTGTATATGTATATGTATGAGTATATAATATAATCAAATCTGATTACAAAACGGAATTTTGCGATTTTTGTTAGCTACTTTTTATAATAATAGTTTTGAATTTTTATTTTAAATATTTATTTTGTCGTTTGTTTGTTTCAAATTTATAACATAAAAAATTATATAATTTAAAGCAAAAATTGTATATTGATTCGTATTTAGAAATAAATTAGAAATGAAAGAGAATAGAGACAAATAAAACAAATAATATACATTTATATCACAATAAATATATAGCATATTATTACTTTAATCGAAAAACACTTGACATTTTTAATAAGATTGTAAATGCAAATTTCAATAGACGTATTACATTAATTAAAAACCGGAAACTATATAATATTTTTACTATATTAAGATAAAACTATGTCCTATGTAATAAAGACGCTGTTACAAAGACAGCTAGAGAAGATCTTTTTGTGTTGATGAATTTACACCTCCGTTTGTCCCTAACTCATCGATATAATTGAACCAATTATCAAAGGTTTTTTTTTAAAGAAAAAGTTAATGACGATAACAGATAACAATTTTATTTCAAATTAAATGCTATGAATTCTCGTACAGGAGACAAAAATTATGGACTCGGAATTTACAAAAGTGACACGTTACAATTTTTAAACTATTGAATCTATATGGATTTTTTTAACCATATTTACACAGGACATAGTTTTATTTTAATACTAAAAATATTATATGGTTTAATCATTGTAATATATCTATTGAAATTTACATTAATAACATTGCATTATTAAAAATGTTACGTGTTTTCCGATTAAAATAATATAGCATATTTATTGAAAATTGTATTTGCGGCTGGAACAAACTTAATCAAGTTGAAATTTCTCGCTTTAATATTGTCAAATTAAATGATACGATTATATTCTGACATTTCTCGTTTGCTCGTTTTATTATTAGCCTCTATTCTGCTTCGTTTCTAAAATATAATTATTATGCCGTTAATTGTGATATTATTCTTATTAAATCAATGACACTAATTAAAATTTAAAAAAATCACTTGCATAAGCGTTACCATTCTCTTCGTTTTCTCGTTTAAACTTCTTGACACTTTGTGATTGTGAATAATTCACGTTTGTTAATTTAACTTAACTTAGGTGCGTATGTTTCACTCGCGGAAATCTGATCGCGCGGGAAATCAATCTCCGAAATTTACATTCTAATTAACGTGACGTCCGGCGAAAAATTCGATTATGCATGATTTATTATCGCGGCGCGCATTCGGCAGTGGCCCTTAATTATTCGCCCATAAAATTCCTGATTTATCCATGATGAAAAGAGAACGGTGTATCGACTCCGGCGGCGGCGCGTTGCATTTTAATTAAAACCATAATTATCTACCGATACGTACGGAAATCGTATATAGCACCGGCGATGAATTGAATGGAGTTTTAACAAAATGATTTTCATCATACTTATAGGTATATATTGTGTGAATAAAAAGAATCTTGTTTGGTTAATGGCATTTTCAAGATTCGGAGAATATTAATAAAAAATCAATTAATTCTAAAAATAAAAAGAAATAAAGGAAATACAGATAAATAGGTGAAATTAGCCAAACGAGTAAGCAAATTTTATAGTAAACTTCGATACTGTTTATTGTCGATTTGTATCGATTTTACATTGCCGGATTTATTAATGTGTTCTGTTTGGTTCGGTTAATTATTTTATAACTGACGACAAAATCAATCACTGCTTTTATTTTATTACTGAATTTTATCTTATCATGAATGAATTTGGCATTAATTTGACTGCTGAAAATTCATATATCTCGATAAATTTCGCTTAAATTTAAATGAAAATTTAAAACAAAATATATTTCATAAATTTAGCAAGAAAATTGTAAATTAATTTGCTATTAGTTATCTTTATACGACGCTACTGTATTCGCGATATTAGCTAATTAACGCAATATATTAACGAGACGATTAAATTGTGACAATCACAGCGTTATGTGCTTTGATATCGATCGAAGGAAATTACCCATTGACCCATTTCATGGGAGTCAGAATTCCGATGATGGTAGTTCAAGATGAGGATCGTGCTGACCACACTACTAGCCACCATAAACATGATGCAATTGAAATACGTCCCTGAAAAGTAATGAGAAATAATTACAATTTAAATTAATGGAAAATAATTTACAATTTAAAAGCAAGTGACAAATTAACAAACAAGTAATCGCATAATTTAATATTTAAAATTCAAACTTCCTACGTTCGCTAGACGTGCATTAATACTGCCCAGCTTAATTCTTTTTTCTTTTAACACCTTAACTTTTAAAAATACAAATTTTATTTGTCAATGCAATAAAAGAAATAGCTTTGAAAATTCACATCTTTTAAAAACAGATGTGTAATTTAATTAAAATATATTTATCCAATAATAAAATTAAATTTATAATAATTGTGAGTTTACAATTACAAATATAAGTTACGTTAATTTATATTAAAACGAGTAATATTGGAAATTTATAATATATTTTTTAAAATTGTTTTAATTTTAAATCATAAAGTATCAAGTCATATCTGCTTGCCGCAGGTATTACACAACCGATCATTGTCTTAGAAGAATGCGAATAAATCTTCGTTTCTTTCTTCTCTCCCTCTTTCCAGTCGAATGGCTCGCGAGATAGAGGTGATCAATCACGCTGCTTTCTCACATTAAAAAAAAACTTAATTATACGATTGAAAATCAGTTAAGACAAGCTCACCTAAAAGCGGCACGGCGTCGGACGTCGCCGGCATTGTCTCGGCAACCATATTCAGAAACACAGTGAGGGACAGAAGGATGGTTACCCCTGCAAAAGAGGTTCGTTGGCTTCGATTAATTATTGTTTAAAGTCGAGTGCGTTGGGGAGGTGGCGAGCTTAACCCTCGGTCCTTGAACGCTCCAAGGGCCTTCAGCGCGTAACAATCCCGTGCTGAAGGCTCTTCGATTCTTAGTCTAAGGCGGCGTCGCTTGGTCTCCGCCCGTGTCGGACGCAATGACATAAGAGTATCCTTTATACAGTTCCATTTACACACTTTAAGGAAATAATGTAAACAAATTTATGTTAAAAAAGGAAATGGCTTGAGAATGAATGATATATAATTTTTTACTGATTCTTCTACTTTCGATCAGATGTCGAATAAGAAATTTCAGAGATAGTCTGTAAGTACCGAACGCGAGTACTCTAAGAGGTAACACCACTTTGATTCCCTGAAATTTAAGGCTTTTTCGGGATTCTTTTTTAAATGCGAAATGTTTATAAAAATTCATTTACACTAATTTATTATATATATTAAAGTAAAAATTGTATTTTTTTAGTTGATATATTAAAAAATAGCGGCTTGACAGGTGATGGGTGGGAGCGCTTCAAAAAAAGAGGGTCAAGCGATGGGCACGATAGCTCATCGCAAACTGGACATAGAACAATGAAACAAAAAAAAATTAATTTTTTTAGTTCAAAAGCTCGTAGAATACGTAACCGTTAAAAAAAATTGCATTTCTAGTGATATGGCATCGATTTAAAGTAAAACGTAAATTTTCAACCAAAAATTTCGTTACTTAAAGTTACACAGAAAAGCAAAATATCAATATTTCAAAAAAGTCCTACGTATTCTACTAGCTTTTGGACTAAAAAAACAAATTTTTTTGTTCGAGGTCAAGTCTACGATGAGCTATCGTGCCCACCGTTTTTTTTCCCGTCCATCAGCTGTCAAGCCATCATTTTTTAATATATCAACTAAAAAAAAATACACTTTCTACTTTAATATATGTATAATAAATTAGTGCAAATGGATTTTTATAAATACTCTTCGCATTTCTTAAAAAAAAAATCCCTTAAATTTCAGGACGTCGAAGTAGTGTTACCCCTTAAGTATCCGACACTGTTCGGGCTTTGAACTCGGTTATACCGCGTACCGCCGCGTCGCGTTAAGAGGCACTTTCAAATTATTTAGACTTTCAAAACGCCGCGGCATCCGCGGCAGATGCCTCATCTGAATATCAGACTTTACTCGAGGTTTTTCGAGGCTCACGATAACACGTTAAGAGTTGCCCTCGAGTCTCTTAGAAACGCGAAAGTCAATTGCAATTGTCAGTTGCATTGTTTTCTTTCTTGCCCGTTTCGTCTTCTCTTGAAACAGAAAAACGTTTTTCATTCTTACATCGTATTGGAAAACTTGCATTACGTCGGCATCGTTTAAGGCGATTTATAGAACAATTAAATGCGAGGTAATAAATGGAAATAAAAGTTTGAGAAATTAAATGTTGTGAAAAAATAAAGAGAAAGTAGAAATAATTAGATAATCGGTATTAGACGCGACGCTCTATATCTTTAACTCTTTTTATAATCTAAATCGATCTATTTTAAATCGAAAGGACTATTGCAAACGTAAAAGCTATCTAACATAAGCCGACGTTCTTTTGATTTGTAAATCGCTCTATAATGCTAAATCGACTGCAATAAAATAATGTTTCTCGGTGTAGAGCCGCATTGTTATCGTATCTCGATCTACGAATAGCTATAAGCTTTAAGGAAATTCGTATCGGAGACGTCTGCAATTGTTCGACATTGTCATTCTATTGTCGTCGTATCTCCGCATCGGTGACGGCGATTGTCGCAATCGCTTCCGAATTCGATGGGGATTCTCCACCGACGCGCGCGCTTGTACGCTCGAAGAAACTCTACGACCTGGATAGAAGGCTCGTCGAAGTTTGCGCGCCGGGACGCCCCGTACAATCGCGGGGGGGGGGGAGCGAAGGGCGAAATCTAATCGCGTAAACGCTCGATGCGCTTAGGGAACTCCCGCACCCCGGCTCTAATCACGGGAGCGTTTACACGGCAGCGCGAGGCGAGGCAGGCAAGGAATCGGAATTATGCAGCCGAACGATTCGAGCCGTAGGAGGCGGGATTTCTCCCGGGCATCCGGCTCCTTGGTAAATTCCAGAACGACTACGCTTACGAGAAAACAATGAAATAACATGTCACGAATAGCGTCAATGCAATCTTTATCTATACTATTGTAATGCCACGTCTACGCATGCGAGAGAAAGTCTGAGAGCACTTCATTATTATTCGACATTCAATTGAGATAGCATTGGATATTCTTCTAATTTGTCAAGTATAATAGTATGGTGTTCTTATATACTTTACATTTGAAAATTGGAGAAGGTTCCATGCCATACGAAACAAATGAAGCGACGAATATTAGCGGAATTTTTTGTACTTAATTTGGGCTTGGGATTCGGTGAAGGTGGCCTGAATTAAGCCGAAACGTACGATGTATTTGATTTAAAATTTGGATTAAATAAGAATTTTACGCACCAACAACGGCATGGACTCTTAATTACCTATTGTTAGATATGGATATTTTTGTGTTAAGAAAATTATCAGCTAAACTACAATGTTGACTATCATCAATCGATCATTTGCCATTTTTTGGATTACGATAATTTCTCATTCGACTTTAATTATAGATTACATTCACAATTGATATTTTGGAAAAAAATTCCAGTTGTAAATATTATAGTTAAATGGAATGCGTTAAAAGTAATTAAGAGATTATTTAACTTTTCACAAATAAAATCAAAATAATAAAAATATTTTCTTTTTAAATTCTAAGTCTATATTATGAGCAACTTGTCTTGCAAATATTTTGATGAACGTGTTGTGTGGATTTGCGGTTCCTGTGCGGTATGCATCATGCTACACAATTGCGTGGCAATGTGAAATCACATTCGGAGTTTGTACTCCGACCAAGTTTTTCGTACGTCGTGTAACGGAATTTTATCAGCACTAATTTCCACGTCGAAATGTCGATAAAGTCCCGCTGAGTTCCTCGACTGCGAAAAAAACTCGCGACGACACGGTACGAACGGTACGGTAACAGTAGTTTCTTCACGGTGCCCGGATGCGGGAGCGCCTGCCAGCCGGAACTAGGTCGGACCTATAATCGCGCAAACGTCTGATGCTCTTAGCAAACAGGGATGTGCCTAATCGCGAGAGTGTTTACGGGCTGTCGGGGGCAATCGAAGTTTTGCATCGAAGTTGAAATTTACCGAGGGAAAGTTTCTCGCCGGAATCGGGCGGCAGGGTGAACCCGAGGACGGCCATGCTGGCAATCAAGACGCACGGCACGATCAAGTTGAAGAAGTAGTAGAGTGTGCGTCTTCTGATGATGACGACAAAAGTGATGTCTATGTACGGTTCCGGGCAGCAATTGTAGTAGATCTCGTTCCTTTTACCGGGTACCCCTGAGCAAGACGAGAGGAGAAATTAATAATCAATAACTAACATTATTATCCACGATTGAGATATCATAGGCTATAATAGGAATCTGCGCGCGGTAATTGTTGCGCAAAGTTTTATAATTGTTACAATGTCCAATCATATACACACAGACTGCGCGCCGCAATTTTTGTCGGTCTTGAAACACAATCCTTTTTATATAAAGCCGGAATACACTTGTAACTAATTAAGTTGACAGAGCGCGAGTGTGGCGTGAACAGCGCACTGGTCTGTCATATCGCAGGTCCCGGGTTCGATTCCCGGTGGAATCAATAAATTTTCATATGCTCGCGTCTACTCTGCGGAGGTCCGGCAAACCACTGAGAGTATCCTTTGCCTCGAAAATCTCTCTCAAAAATTCTGCCGTTCGAATTCGGTTTTAAGTCGCACTGTATGCCTGTGTACAATCAGTGTGCGCACGACAGGCATATGAAAAGTGGTAGGCCCTGGCTCGATGTGAGCTGTAGCGCCAATGTCAATAATAATAATAATAATAATTAAATTGACGAACAATTTAATATTATTTGATGCATAATCATCTATAAGAATCTCTTCTCTCCAAATCTGTGAAGAAATTTATTGCGAAAAATGTCACCTCAGCTCCCAGCTGGGAATTTTTAACAGATTTGGAGGAGATTTTTATAGATGCTTATTAGCATCAAATAATATTAAAGTGTTCATCATTTTAATTAATTACAAGTATATTACGGCCTTATGCGAAAATGATTGTGTTTCAAGACCGACAAAAATTGCGGCGCGTAGTCTGTATATTGGACATTGTAACAATTATAAAACTTTACGTAACAATTATCACGCAGATTCCCATTAGCCTATATGATATCTCAATCGTGGATTATTTTTATAGGAATCCTTCACTTAAAGTAACGTTTAATTTTCTAGAGTACATGGCAAGAAATCAGAGACATGGATGCAGTGTAGATTTCCATACACTTTCTAAATGTAAAAATCATAAAGATCATATAAATATATTTATATAATTAGAGATACATATAGATGTTTGCGATTTACGTATAAAAGAAGATCGTCGATACCGTGATATCACTTTGTTTCAGATTTCTTAAACAAAAGCTAAAAATAAAACTTTGAAGACATAAATACACACTAGAAAGCGTTCTTTATCATATAATAGATTCTATCTATCAGCTATTTTTTATAATACTGTTTGAAATTTCGCAATATTTAACATTTTCGTAAGATAAGCAAAAATGAGCATCTGACAAAATTGGCCAAAATAAGAAAGAGAAAAATATAAATAAATAGATTTTAGGAAATTACAAACATACGAAACAATCTATTAACAACAATATATCCAATATTATTTAAACTATATAATTTGCAAAAGAAAATTGTAACAGTTTGTGCATTTACATTTAAAAAATTTGTTTTTTACATCTTTAGCTAAATCAGATCATGTTTTTATCATTATTAAAGTACAACGTTCAGTTTCTGAGAAACAAGTAAGGGGCGTTTCGTTATATCTATGTCGGTACCGGCGCGACTTTCCTCTCTGTATATAATTTATAAATTAATAAATGTGTATTAATATTGTTCATCCATGTCTAACTGCCAGTTCCGACAGGCGATAAACTTAAAGTTTTTATTAAATAAAAAAGTTCTCAGGTATGTTCAATTTAATGCTTAAATATGACGTCGTACACGGGCAATCGATGTACTGTCAATAAAACGAGAAGTGCTCCCTCCGAACGAACGTAACAAAAGGTTGCTGGAAGCGAAAAATTTTCCTCCCCTCTCCTCACCTCACCCTGAATTATCCCGTGCAACAGGGCAAGGAAAAACGGAAGATTCTATCTTACGGCTATTCCGCCGGGTACAAACTGCTGGTGTGCGCTTTGCTGCAGCTGCACCAGTTACTTAAGATACATTTCTACCACCGGTCTCATAACCGCGGCACATACATTGCACGTGTAGTACGCCGACCTACGCTATTCCCACGCGTAATGCATCGTACAATTTTTCGAGAGATACACGAGAGATACGCGGAGCGAATGCTTTTTATTCCTGCGTTGGCGGAACAATGAAGACGCGATGCCATTTCTTACGTTTGCAACAAATTTATCAACGGAGCGGCGAATTACACGTAATTGGACGATATATCATAATTGCAATGTTTCTCCCGCAATTATGAGGGAAAAATACAGGCCAGATGTATCTATCTTTGCACTACAATTCCAATATACGGATATTACGTGCGCAAGCTGCTCATTTTCAAGCCGTTTTACATTATTATGCAATCGAACAATCGATTACGATTACAACGCTTTCTTTTAATGTTGCTAATTGAGAGTTCTTGTTAACGGAAAATGTCATTAATTGACCCCCTCTGTCATTGCCTCATTTTATTCATCTTGATAAAACATATATTAAAATATAAATTTAAATGTTATTCATTGAAAACGTATAGTCTGAATTTAAAATTAATCTTTGAAATGCAGATTGTACGATTCCGCCTTGTGAACTATGTTGCTTTGAGTACAGACGGGTTTCGATATACGCGGGAAGCTAATTTTATATAAAATATCGGAATGAAACGCAAAGAAGATTCTTATTATTCGTAAGATAAAAATTTAAAAATTTTCTCTCTGTGTATTTAAAATGTGAGTACGATACTTGGAAATCTAAAAGCTTTCATGTGGCTAAAGATCCGTCAATATATTTTGTATATATATCAAGTGCAAAACAATTGCAAATTGGAGTATACGGAGCGCAAAACATCTGGAAGTGAAAGATTGTAGCTTAAATCTGCCCTTCGGCGAAATTCCCAGGCGATTATTCAAGCGGCTATTACGAGCTATTATTCGCTCCTATAGAATCAAGCAAGCAGCAATTTCTCTCGCGACACTTTACCGATCGCCCGACATGTTCGCCGGCAAAAACACTAAACTTCGAAACGCCGCGCCGCGCGCGCGGGAACGAGCCGCCAGCGTCCCGCCTGACCCAGATGCCGGCAATTTTGACAGGGACAAAGCGAGGATCAATACCGGTTCCGATTTGCGAAACGATTGATCATCCGCCCGTTGCAAGACTTTAGAATTGCTAATCGGCCGGGAATCACTTTCGGTGCCACGCCGGGGCAAACTATCCGGGCGTGGCGACGTGAACGGTTCCCGATAAGGACTACAAAAACTCACCCAACAGATGCCACTCGCCGTTAGTGATGAAACTGCTGATGTCACCTCCGTTCTCGTCCTGCAGCTGTAGATCCAACTGTCGACAATTTATGAAAGTCGATTAGAGGAAAGTTATTGCGACCGCGCCGTGTAAGACGACTGTTTTGAGAGCTACGGAAAAGTCTGTTCAATAGAGCATATGACAGAGACACAAAAGTTGTCGGCTCTTATTCCTTAAAAAGAATCGTGCCATATATTAAAGCTAAAACTCCCTTTGCGCTGTAGATTTTTCAGGGCGCTTCTGATATATTTATATTAATTGACTGTAATGTATTTCTCTCCTAGGATTTTTATACTATTATTATTATATATATGTTATGATATTTGATATATATGTATATATTAAACATCGTAGCATATATTTTCGAAAAACTTAATTTTTAACTTACAAAAATAGTACTGTTTATTTGCAATTAAAATAAATGGCATCATAAGACAGCGTGAGTTTTTTTAAAAGAATTAAAAAAAGAATTAATAAAATACAAAACAAACGGAACACCATACGTGAATAATATTGTTTTTAGTTTCAAGTGCTTTCTGTTGATTTATTGACTTCATACAGTTTTGTTGATACAGTTTACGTGAGTTCATGTATATTTACGTAGTTCTATATAAAGCTCTCTCGCAAACCACCCGCAATTTCTGCGCGTTTGAATATCGATGCGAACTTTTTTCGCGTTGACATTCGAACGCAATCTGTGACGAATTAATATCTCGGAGCGAATTGTTAAATGAAGATGGGCGATCAAATCGAAAAGTCTGTTTTGCATCTCGTTTGTATTCAGCGGATCGAACCGCGCTTGGGAAAATCGTGGCATATTCCGTTGTCTTCCTTCCCTTCGCCGCCATTCGCCTCCATTTCGTTCTGCTTATTGTCCTCCTTAATGAACCCCTGAGCGTACTCGAATTGCCTGGCACCGTGTAATTCGCATCCTCAATTTTAATTATTCCGAAGTTGTACGCTCGACAATTGGGAACTCGCTAGGCAATGTACATTGGTCGTGTCGGCAGAAATGCACGTTTGCACGATAAATCGACACGCGTAAATTGCACGCGACTATGAAACTTTTGTCGTTAACGAAATTATCGTCACCGTAATCTGGCACTGTTACCGTGCTGTACAGCTACACAGCTATCGTATTACAAAACATAGCACTTTTTAAGTTGCACATCTTACCGCTAATTTCGAGTTAATATTATTTGATGAGAAGTATCAACGCATCGCGCGTTACATTTTTCTGTTACCTACTCTATTTCTTTTAAAAAAGTATTTTGATAAAAGAAAAATTTTTAAAAATTTTTCATTAAGTAATTATTTTTTTATTATCAATCGATCAATTTCATCTATATTTCATCTTTATTTTATTTATTTATTTGCCTTAATTCAATTTGAATAAGAACAAATGATTTGCGAATTATATATTATATATATATTCTTTTATTTAAGCAAAATTTTGATAAGAAAATGTAAGTTATAATATATTATATTAAATAATTGAGCAAGACAAATTTAAGATAAAAAAATGTAGAAAAAATTTTTTCCGATATTTTGAATTGCACGAATAAAACAGCAGCAGGGAGAAATTGCGTGTTGGTGAGAATTCTGAATATCGCACATTCTCACGTTCATTGTTCTCTATAAACGCATCTTCCATGATTCATAAATTTTCTGCGATTTACCCTGAAATAACATTTGCCATCCATGCCGTTAGTGTGTCGACCAAATACCGAATGCAATTTACGCTTGTTGTATCTCTGAAGCGTATGCGAATATCGAGCATAACCGCATATCTCAAACATTTTCGAGAAAATGCTTTAACATTTCTGCGTATTCTTGTAAAAACTTCCGACAAAAGAAACTGATAAGAAATTGTAAAATTTCATGAATGCATTCCGAGGCAGAAGTGATCAGTCCATATAGACGTCAATTCGATCATGTCTGCTTGGGTTATGCCTTCAAATATTTATTATTCTTATTCAGTTATTTTAATTATATTCTATAATTTAAAAAATGTTAATTAAATAAAAGCAATTTTTATACAGTTGTTCATATAATAATAGATTTGCCATTTGAAGATTAATCTAATTAGTTTTCAACAAAAATACTGTCCGAATATCAACGTGAAAAGATTTTGCATTAATAATCAATACGGAAATGATTTTAAACCAATTTAAAGGAAATAGAAATTTGCAAATAAACAACAAATGAAAAAGAAAATTTTATTTTGTATAGTTTTTTTTCACGGAATTTGACGAGTGAGATGTAAATACTAAAATTTGCAAATAAACAACAAATGGAAAAAAAATCTTATTTTGTATAGAGTTTTTTTTCATGGAATCTGACAAGTGAGCTGTAAATACCGAAATATTCAAAGACAAAGCAAAACTGGCACCAAACACGTGACATCCAATTATTTTTTACGATAAAGAGAAATCAGTTTTATTACTGGCTATTAGACAATATATTTACCTTTTCTACGAACAAGGCTATTTCTCTCGTTTGCTTCAAATAAATAATTATTCAACAGATAAACGAGAATCGCGATCCTAAGAATGCTATCCCGATTTGAATCGGAGATGGTGGAAAATGCGCCTCCATTACGCGAGTACTTTACTCAAAGCTCCATTCTTAGGAATTTCACGAATCGTTCTCACGAGCGAATCTTACATTGGCAAACAGTGAAGATTTTCTCTCCCTTTCCTTCTCTCTTTCTTTCTGCCTCTCTGTCTCTCCTCTCTTTCTCTCTCAGTCTCTCTCTTTCTCACGTTCTTGGGCGCTAATCAAATTGCTCGACGCCGCCGCTTTGAATTATTTCCAGGTCTCGAGACCGTACCGGCGAGAAGTACCGACGTGCTTCCGACAGATTGGAAAATTCGTAAGTTCGACGTCTGTGTCGAAGAAGCCGAACATCGGGACAGAACGGATCGGGAAAACGACGACGATTGGTTGACCCAATTCCGTAATGCCTGTCCCCCATGCTCACCTGAGAGCCGTCGTACGTCCAGGAACCGAATTTCATCTCGCAGCGCTGATCGTCAAAGGGAAACCAGGTAATGTCTATCTTGCAAGTGCTCTTGAATATACCGGGCGGCACGTACAAGCAGGTCCCATTGTTCTTTACGACGACGTTCGTCGGGTAAGTGCCGTCGAAGCCCTCATCGGCGCTGTAACGAACAATCACTTGTTAACTTTTCGATAGCGGAACGCAACGAGCCGATACGTAATCGGCGGATTTGACGCGGTAAAAGTATAGTTAATTGAATTGTTTTCCCGGATTCTCTAAAACACAACGCTTGTGACGTGTTGAGTATTTTTTTCCGCTTTATTTAGAGGACTGTGTAATTACATACACGTTTAGTTATGCGCTCAATTAAATAATTTTATAATTATAATTATAAATATAAATATTTTAAATCACCTTTTTGCTGTTTTACATCTTTTATTATTATGTGTCATCTACTTTCCACACAACAAAAGCCCTCTTTCACTGCTTATTGACGCGATTTCGTTTTATCACATCCGTAATGGTCTCATTCGTTCAACACTATTATTGTTGTACAATTCTCGTGATTGAGAACGCTCGTAGATTCGTGTGGGACATCTATCTTTCTTTGCTCAGGAGACTAAATAATAATGGAGAACACGTGAGCGAAACCTAATACCAGAACTCTGAAGTCCTCGAAGTAAACCCGTCGTTTATTCCTTCCATGCAATAATTTAGAGATAATTCGGTTGTTCCTAATGTTGCTCTCTGTCGTGAGGAAATCGACCCACCCTTTACAATTATTATTTAGCACAATTAACCCAGTATGTATTCTGTAATAACCTATATGCATTTTAGAATTACTACTAACAAATATAAATGGTAAAATATAATAAAATAATTCTGATTTCAAAATTAATTCTAATTTACATATGTAATTCAGAATTACTACTAACAAATACAGTAAAATATAATAAAATAATTATGGTTTCAAAATCAATCTTAATTTATGTATTTCAGAATTAATACTAACAAATATAGTAAAATATAATAAAATAATTCTGATTTCATATATATAAGATTTCATATAATAACATATATAATTCTGATAATTATGATTTCAAAATCAATCCAAATTTAGTAAAGTTTCACGAGAATTGAATCCAAAATAATTAAATAAGGCAATGAACAACAGACTATTGTAAATAAACGTCAATGATAATATAATTTTTGTTATAAATCAATGATTTTGCGCGTAAATTCAAGCGAACTTTTTTGGAAGAATCAAATTTATGTTCCCTTTTAAAATTTCGTTAATATTGATTACTCATATAGACACTGGCATATCGATCTAGATTTACTGACCGTGCTATATATAGGTATCGATGATCAATCGCCATGACGGAATTTCGCTGCACGCGTTTAGAAAATATGTAGATAATAAACGGCCGCCATAAAAACAAACTGCCATCGTAACTACAGAGTAGCATTTAAGTGTGCAGTATATCTTGACATCTCGCGCAGTAAAATAAATTACCGCGAAGGCAAACGTTACTCTCTTGTAACGTTACTCGCGTGGCGGGTATTCTTAAAAATTTAAATAACGTATTCTCGCCAAAATTTTTACGAAAAATCCAATCTCACGTATGAAAGATTGCGAGCGATTTTTCGCGTTTCTCCCCACAATTGCATTGTTAAAAATGCAAATATAGTTTCGAATAAACTAACTGAGGCGACAGATAAATATTCCACATGCGTGGAATAAGAAGAACTTGGCAATTTACGCAGCGCAATCAAATCTAATCAAATTAAATAAACCGATTAAACTTTCTAAATGTCCACGTGTACAAAAGAGAGTTAGGTATTTATTTACCGGTAACATACATTTTATTTATTTAGCACTGAAATTTATTTGCGATCATTTTAACATAAAAATTTGTGATTGAAAAAAATATTGAATGCGTTTAGATTTAAATATTAATATTGAAGTGTAAATTGATAATATTGGTAAATAAATTAAAAGGATCGTTTATACTTTATGTAAAAACTGTTAACACAACTCACGAAAATCTTCACAGAAAAAAAGTATATCCTTTGGTTATATTATCCGTAATTGCTCAAGAAATTTATTAAAAGCGAATTCACGTTTCACGGGGATTTAGTGCAACTTACGACACGACGTGCGATTAAATCTCGGTATAGCGTTGCGTTGAAGCAGACTCGAATAGACTAGCGGGAGCTAATTATGGACGAGTCTACCCTAGGCCTTTGACGTCCTACCTCGCTTGTCTTGCACCCCGTTCGATTCCGTTCCATTTGCGTTGACCAACAGGAACGAACGGCAACTTTTTACATGCACTCGGACGCGAATTGACGCGAATACTTATTTTTGCAACTTTTCCCAGAGAGCCGACTTTTCTCTCGTTGTAAAAAGACTCGACAGCCCGCTGTCGAGACCTTAACAATTATTTAAACGAACTGCGCGACACTCGTTTTACAAAACGATGTGAATGAAACGGACGGGGTACTTATCGGCTATTTAAGCAACATCCTCGTTTAAAGGTTAAAAATGTTTGGATAAAAAGGATATATTAACGTCATTTCTTCCATTTCATTTCTACCACTGATTCAATACCTTCAGAAAATGTGCAACGTGAATGATGATTATATTAAAAATTTCTTGTAAAACCTGCAAACATGTCAAATTTCAAATTTTAATAAGAATCAATATACACATGTTTTCGTTCAAGAGATTTTATGTAATATTACGTAACCAAAAATATTTTTACGTAATAACATTCTATAAGAGAACATTCTATATAATGCGAGAATTCTATAATTTAATTATCTGCTGAAATATCACAATTTAATTCATTTTTTTTAAATTTCGCTAAACAATTTTCTTCCAGAAAAAACGTTATATAACGTAAGTGTACTCAACATCTTTAAAATTAATTCTTCTTATAATAGCAAACTTTTCAGTTGGTATTAAAAAAATACTTTCTTGAATAAATTAAATTGTGAATCGTCGCGCTATCCTATTATTGTTACGGTAAATTTTTATTTGTTAAAGATCTTTTTCTGACCATAATAGTGCGAAAAAGAAACGATAACTACGCCAAGTCACGCAAGCCATACTAATCCGAGATGGGAGAGCTTAATTAAATTCTTTTTCATCATGTGACCCTTTAACCCGCGGCTTGATTACTCCTCTGGCTTAGAGTTATCCAGAAGTTTTACAGATTCTTCGTGATGGCCGGCTTTCCGCTCATTTAATAATGCAAATAAGACCTTACAGCAAAAAAAGTTGAGCTGGTGGTTGCCTATTGGGGCAAATTTTTAAATCGACGTGATAATAACAAGAAATTTCAGTCCATTCCGTGTTTGGTTTATTAAATGCTAATTAAAGCTTATTCGCGAAATACAATTATATTTTTACACTCATAATTTTTACAGAAAGAGAAATTTATTTTCAGAGTTAGTTTGATATTAAACCAATGAATAGATATAAGATTTAGATGCAAATAAACATATGAATAGATATAAGATTTAGATATAAATAAATATAAAATAGCGAGAAGACAAGCGTTAATTAAAGTTAAGATAAGTTAATTAAACAAACACTGTACATTAACGAGAGTTCCGGCCTTTATCTTTATCAAGACAAAGGGAAAATTCTATTATGCCGTGGACTTAGTTTCCCGATAATACGCGCCATATCCGTTTTCTTTATTTAATCAGGCGTACACGAGCTCACGAGCTCGGAGAAAATATTTGCAAGAAGGGATGCGCGCCGGCCACGTTACATCCTACAAAATAGAATATTCTACCTCGAGTGCGTGCCTTGTGTGATAACGAGAAAGATCTAACAATAAAAGAAACTCTCTTGCGGAAGTATCGGGGCTCGCGAGCTTTTCGGTGTACATAGTTCGCATTGCATCATTTTTATGTAAATAAACTGAAATTATCTGCAATTATATAGTAAAAGTAATAAGGACGCGCTGAAAATTTTTATTAAAATTAAAATTTTTCATGAGCTCGCTGTTCACTTTACAGTTCGTTTTTTGCACGATAACGCAAATATTATGAGGAGAACGCCATAAGATTCTAATTTGAGATACTTCGAGTAAGTTATATATCTTTATATGTTTTATTATATTTTTAATACGTCATTATATATCTTCCGCACACTCAGAGAAATGTTTCGCTGTTCCAGCGAATAGAATTCTAAATATTACACTTGAATTACATCGTTGTTTTTTTGTATCTGCTAAAAAATTGTCTGTCATACATAGAATTTACAGCAGCAATATTTTAAGAATATATACAAGAAAATATAGGTCTCATAAATATGATTAGAGTCTGGAATGGAATCCGGACTGATTAAACGTCATAGAAGAACTTTCTTGCTAAATTTGACAAATAGTTCAGATATAATTTCTGTCTCTATTATCTATATTATTTATATTAAATACAAAACATATGTGGTATCGCAGTGCTTAGTAATCATTATTCGTTTTAGCTAATTTTTCGTACCTAAATAATTCTCGCTATAATTGCAAGATTACTTTTTTTCAGTGCAGGTTCTGTTTTGTTTCGTATAGCTGAAATAGTTTACGATGTGTACATGCGTATATATTTAAAAGAAAATAAAGATCTTCCTTCTTATGTATATGGCCGACGTATCGTTGACATACACTACTGATGCGCTCTTCAAGTTTGAAGATCGATATTATGGGCAATTTCTTATATTTTTTATATTTTAATCAGTATAGTTAGATACAAGATAATTTATTGTTCAATGTTATTTAAGATAGAAAAATGTCTTAATAAAGAATAAAAATTCAGAATTTGTAGTCGTAATATTTAGTTGTATAACAATCTGATTTCAAGTTACGTAAGTAATCGTTACTCTAAATGTAGGCTCGCACTTGATTTCTACTTGAAATGAGATTCTTAAATTGTAATCGCATTTTACGAGATAAAACCCCATCGTAAATAATTCGCGTAATACGTTCGTGAGAGCGGACTCAAATAATGATTATATACACGAGTCTTTTTATTTCGCTTGTGCTAAAACGTGTAATTTACACAAGACGACAATGTTATCTCATGTAATCTTGGAAAAAAGATTTTGTAAGCGTGCGGCGAGCTTTGACTATACTCTTCAGCAACTTCAAG